CAAGCGGAATCATGACATGGGTTATTATTGCAAATAAAATTCTTTTGTTCCAATTCTCTCTCCGTTCATAGCCCAGTCAGTGTCTGGAAGTGGCGTGACACTACACATGGTGTGATGCTATGGGCCGGGCCACAACACAGAGATAGTCTACCTTTTATTTTTGGGTAGATCATAGCTCTTTTATAAGGTAATATAATAATAAGCAACAGAAGGCATGGTAAGACGTGGGCCGAACTGGGCCAGCTCGCAGTTTCCATTCATATCAACACGTAGCCCGGCTAACAAAATCAATGTGATGAAATGAGACCACTTCCACCCACCATCTTGAATTTTGAAGTTCCAAACTGCCGTGCTGATGGCTGATGGGACCAGACTACCAGAGCAGATAGGCAGACGCCGCCGGGACGAAGCGTTGCAGTTGCAGCTTCATCAGCACAGGTCGCTCCCACCCATTCGCGTTCTTGCTGCCGCAGAGCCTAGCCGCCTGCCGTTTTGGATGGGTGTGACGCCCGGGCGCAAGTGTCCCCCGCCCGGGCGGCCAGACGCCCCGTGGCTTGGACGCCGTGCGCCCGTGCGCCGCTGCCGCGAGATGGATGGGGACGACCGCCCCGTCCGCCCTATGATCGGTCAACGTCGCCTCACCGGTTCGCGCGCTGCATTCATCCTCGCGGCGGCGACCGGCCGTCGGCTTGTGCTTGATTTGGTTGAGCCGGACGCCCCGACAGCGCTAGCTAGCTACCAACTCCTCTGCTGGCGCGGCGGTTTAATGGATCTTCACTCCACTCGCGAAGCCGCGTCAACGGCGCTCACTCTCAATAATGTACTGCAGTATCTAGAAAGCCGCAGTTACCGCTTTCTACAAAGACGTTTAGATTGTAAGTTTTTTCACTCTTTTTCGTCACATTAAATCTTTGAATATATGTATGAAGTATTAAATGTAGATAAAAAAAACTAATTACACAGTTTAATTGTAAATTACGAGACGAATCTTTTGAGCCTAGTTAGGCCATGATTGGACAATAATTATCAAATACAAACGAAAATGCTACAGTGTCAAATACTGATTCCTAATCCCAATCTAAACAGGCCCGAGCTACCTGGCGCCTTGATGATAGATTAAAGACTGACAAGGAAAATGATCGGCCCAAGACGCATGTCCGCATGTGTCGTGTGTGGCACTGGGGAATTGAAATTCGTGCCTGCGCACCGTATCCTCCGGCTCCCAGCCAATCCCTCCGTTGCCTTCGCTTCTCACTCTTCTTCGAGTTGTGAAACGATAGACTAAATCTGTCCCAAGCCATAAGACGTTGTCTTTTCTAGATACGGTGTGATTACCATGTATTTAGATATAGTATATATTTATGTGCATAACAAATGCAACGTATCTAGAAAAATCAAAACGTTTTATAATTTAGAACGGAGGAAGTACAAAATAAATTATATTAAATTAATTCTAAAATATTTTTTTATAGTAAATCTAGTTAAAGATATAAATATTAAATATTATTCTCTATAAATTTTGTTAAAGTTAACATAGATTAACTTGTATAAACTTTATACAGGGTATTCTAAAAAAAAACTTTATACAGGGTACGTGGATGTGCCTGTGCTCCGTGCCACTGCCACCGTAGTAGATGATGACTTCAGGCGGTCACGTCAATACGATTGCAAATATTTTATTGGCACTACGTTGTGAAGCGACACGATACTTTCATGAATCCTCCCTCCGTTTAAATAAAAATAAAATGCAATTCTCCGAGTAAAACAATTTCACATTCAATTAAATATATAAAATGGAATTGAATAATATAACTTGATATTATTTTTAGAAACTTAGTTAAAATTTTACAAATTATTCTTTTTAAACTTGTAGTTATATTCTTCAGGACGAATGGAGTATTAGCCATAAGGGTAAAAGAATCTAAGTTCCGTCATGTTTAGAAGAAATGTATTAGAATATATAATTGCATGTCAATATTAAACTCTCTTGATTTCTATACCCGATTGAGTGTGGAATGATATAGTACGTGTGATGGGTACAACACATGTATTGAATATTTCTCAGAACAAGTAGCGCAGCCTATGGATCTGTTTGGCGGGCTCATGAGGACTAGAATAGGAGCCACTTTTGCAACTTGAGCTTGAAACGACTCGGGCTCCTCTATTATTCACCAAACAATGACTCCTCCTCTTCCTCAAGTATTCAGTACGTTTTCTTTGAAACTTTTGTAGAAACAGCTGCCGGAGCCATGCTAAATAGGCCCTAAATGTGTTTGGATGTCATATATAGCGCCACTGCCATCGGTGCTCATGCCTCGGAGCCTAACCCTGTTCGCTTGAGCTAGTTTTTAGTCATGGAATATTATTTTTCTCTTAAAACAGTTTAGCATAAGCATCAGAATAAGTCAAATTTCAGCATAAGTGAACATGACGTAAATTTCTAGCCTAACACCACACAAATTTAAGGTGTCAAAAATCGGAGAGGCGCTGATCGGAATACGGAGTATATATGAACTATGATCGAGGCTAATAAGGGGATGTTTGGATCCAGTGACTAAAATTTAGGAGGTGTCACATGAGGATGTCGCATGGGGTGTTCGAATACTAATAAAAACAAATTACAGAATCCATCAGTAATTTGTGAGACGAATTTATTAAGCCTAATTAAGCTGTCATTAGCACATGTTACTGTAGCATCACATTATCAAATCATGAACTAATTAGGCTTAAAAAAATCGTCCTGCAAAACAGTCTTAATCTGTACATTTAGTTTCATAAATAATCTATATTTAATACTCTATGCATATGTCAAATATCCGATGAAACAGTGACGAAAGACACGAAACCAAATACCCCCTCAGCAGCCCCCAATGTGAGGCTATCCTACCGACCTATGTTCATCGAACATGACGAGGCAACAGTTCAGGTTCAGACAGGGCAGCCAAACACCGGAGGCTTGTTTCTAGGCTCTAGGGGCCTGTTTGGATGCCGCCCTCGCCTGGACGTGCCTGCCAGGCAATTGATCTCAGCCCCAGTTGATCAAAATCGGACGCCTGGGAACGCTGCCTGGCGTCGGAGCTGCCTGGGAGGCAGCATCCAAACAGCCCCTAGGCGTCTCATGCAGGAGGCAGCTTCTCCAGGAAAAAGGGATCTGGAGCACGTGAACATGCATGTACTGATGCCTACACTAAAAATCAGATTACGGTGCTCATCACGATCTGCATACACTGCATTATTCTTGTTGCGTATAGACCGTACAGTGATGTGCGTTATATCCTTCTCCAATCGGACCGTACATAGTAGATGCACTAATTTACCGAGTTGTTGCGCCAACTTTTAGACCAGATTACAAGTTCATGGACCAATCTCACCCACATTATTAGTTGATGTATGGTAGATGCAGTTTATACTCGATATAGTATAAATACAAGCCTTTGTACGACGTTGCTACATTCAATTATGAGCTGCACTCCCTTCACCTAATCTTCTCCTGGAGCTCGAGCTGCCACCGATTGTGTGGCTGAGGCGACATTGCCAGTGCTGACATCAAACTAAGCTCACGCGCCCTATTGACTTGTTGACATTGGAACTCTGGAAGTGATGTGTAGTTATGCCTGAGGCTCACTTCAAGTTGCGATACTATTTGTGGTGGTAATGACGCTTCATTAGTGCACACGTACGATTGATCGCAGGGTCTATTCGCCTGTAGACTTCTCTTAATCAGCCGCTACATGCCCCGTCCCTTTTGCCTGTAGGAAGTTGGAACCGACTACCGAGCGCCTGCGGGCGGTCCATATCCGCAGATCGTGCACACCATCTTGTGCAGTGTCTCACAAGGGACGATAGATCGCAACCTGCTCGTCTCACGATCTAGAACTCTAGAAGGGATGCTTTTTTCCCCACCCGGGCTGTAGAGTAAGCAGAGGACGTCCTTGAGGCTCGGCTTTTCAAGAAAACGAGCTAAAACGGAATTGGAGTTGGAAAATCGGGAGGCAAGGACCACGGCGGGCGTAATGGACCTTTGGCAGTAACGCCAGTACGTCGACTTGGACAATTCGGTCCATCGTTTTTTTATTTCCAGCGCGTGATACGATACCATGCAAAATTGCAAATGGAACGAATTGAACAACATACTAGCAGGGAGTGAGGTGGAGAGATCCAGGTCCTGCCTGAGTAGCCAGTGAGTACCACTACCACCACAGCTCTTGCTCAAATCCCTGGTCCTGCAACCGAAAAACGATGCGATTTCGAGCCGTTTTCACCGGAAAACGAAAACGGCCGGAGCCCGGAGAGACGGCAGACGCGACGAGACGAGCCGAATTAAAAACTCAGATAAGTTGGCGAGGGCGACGTTGCGCGCTCTGGTCTCTTCGCTCCGGGAGCAAAAACGAGTGGCCCTCCAGGCCGCCTCCAAAAACGCCCCGGACTGCCGGACCCCTCTCGCCACCCGCCGCACACAGTGACAGCGGGCCCCGCGGAGACACGGCCCCCACGACTCAGCGGAGCACCCTGGCCGCCACGACCGAGCACGGGTGCTACTGGAAGACGGGGCCGTCGTCGTCGTCGTCGTCCACCTCTCCCGCTCCTCCTTAATGACGCGCTAATCAGCGAGCTTAACCCACCGGCTCGGGCGAGCGCGCGGCAGTGCTTTGCTAGCGCACACCGGCGCAGGGCGCGGGCGGCTCGACACGTGGGGGTGGGGGTGGGCCGGTGGGGCGTGTACGCTAGCCATTAATACGGCAGGTCGCCCATCCCATCACGGCCGCCGCGCCCGCCCGTCTCATCTCTCAGTCTCCTGTCTCCACTCCCCCGGCTTAAAATCCCGCGTCCCGGTCGTCGCACACTGCGCACCCCACTCCGCCTCCGCTCCCCGCTCGCCGTCGCGATTGTTGGATTGGCGGCCGCCAGCGCGCTCCCGTTCCCGTTCCTCGCGGTGTTTGGTGGTGGTCTCTGGAGTCTGGACTGGACTGGACGCCTCGGCCTGCCGCCCGGTCGAAGAGATGGACTCGGTCATGGCCGCCGCCCCCGACTCGCCGCCGCAGACTGTCGTGCTCGTCTCCGCCGGCGCCAGCCACTCCGTCGCGCTCCTCAGTAAGCCATGCTGCCTTCCTAGACAACGCATTCCGTCGAGCACGCACGATTGCCACTTGTTGTTGCTTGCGCTTTTCGCTGACAAGTGGCCGGCCCTGCCTTTTCTTTTCCTTTGTGTCTGGCTGTCTGCTTGCCAGCGGGCAATGTCCTGTGCTCGTGGGGCAGGGGCGAGGACGGGCAACTCGGCCACGGCGACGCGGAGGACCGGCTCGTGCCCACCGTGCTCAGCGGCTTCGACGCGCCCGGGATCACGTCGGTCATCTGCGGCGCCGACCACACCACCGCCTACTCCGAGGACGAGCTGCAGGTCTACAGCTGGGGCTGGGGAGACTTCGGGAGGCTGGGGCATGGCAACTCCAGCGACGTCTTCACGCCACAGCCGGTCAAGGCGCTGCAGGGGCTCAAGATCAAGCAGATTGCCTGCGGGGACAGCCATTGTCTTGCCGTCACCATGGCCGGAGAAGTGCAGAGGTGAGCGGCCTACCCACAGTTTTAATTGCCGAGCATGTTATAACTTGTTGGGAGTATATACTAAGCCTATTCATGAAAAAAATATTTGATAAGCACTGCTATCAAGTTTTACATCATTGTATTCTGTTGTTCTATTTGATTTCTGTGCATAGCTGTTGTATTATCTGATCCCTATTCCTTTATGCGTACCGTAGTTGGGGCCGTAACCAAAACGGACAGCTGGGTCTTGGAACCACTGAAGACTCGCTGCTTCCACAAAAGATTCAGGCTTTTGAGGTAACAAAGGGGATAACGAAATCTTCATACAGAGTGATCTGGATCATGTTAGGAAAGTCTTAGGACCACCATTTTTAACTTGGACACTTGTTCAATGCAACATGCTATGCGTAGAACATGTGTAAAATGCTAAAATTGTAAATCACGACTATTGAGTTGAAGTGTTGGATTCGTATCTAATAACTACTTATGATTTGGTTCACAACAATATATTACCTAAACTACTATAATCATGAGATGCACCATTTATGTGCTGTCATTATGTTCCTCAGTAATGGTGATGTGAACATTGGCCCTCACCCATCCCACCTTGTTCCTTCTGGAGCAGAACTGTCACTATTTGTCAATGTCCTGTGCACTGCACTTTAGTGCTAATGGTCCTATGTTTGTAGGGTGTTTGTGTGAAAATGATTGCTGCTGGCGCTGAACATACTGCTGCAGTAACTGAAGATGGTGACCTCTATGGATGGGGTTGGGGTCGATATGGAAACTTAGGTCTTGGTGACCGTAATGATCGTTTGCTTCCTGAAAAAGTATCTTCTGTGGAGGTAAATTATCTAATTTGGCTCAGCTTGTTTTTTCCAGTTTAAAATCAACAGATCCAAGCAGGGCACACATCAACGTTGATACTGCATGAAAATTGATCCCTGGCGCTGAACACCTACAGCACTTGATACTGCATGAAAATTGATCACATGTTACAAAATCTAAATGCACTCCTTATTCCTTACTTGATCTCTGAGACTGTTAGCCGGGCATATGTTTAGCTGTGACTTACTGCTGTGGCATGTTTTTCATTAAGAAGTAGAGTGAAGTACAAGCCTCGAAAGTCAAAACGGTAATCACCTGATTACCGAGTTAAGGGCACACATCAGCGTTTACAGCGGTTTAAATTACACATAACACATTTGTGACCTTTCTGAAAAAGACCCTAGCGCTGAGCCACAATCAGGTGTACTCATAAGAGAACCATCAGCGACTTGAGCTGTTTGAAACCAGCCATTAGCCAAACATTTGTTCTGTCGATGATCAGTTGCGTTAGTTCCGCAGGCGAGGCGCTTGAGCCGTCAAACATCCACATGTTCCTTTCTTTCCAGGTCATCCACCCAACAAGGCAAAGCAGGGAGTCGAAACCACGCTGGATGTTGTCATCTTGAAACATCCCTTAATTTAAAAGTGTTGGGGGGTCAATATTTTTTACCCTGATAGAAACCATCAAATGCATAAAATTCTTTCAGCTGATTGAAATACCCTCTGTTATTCTCTATACATTATGCTGGTGATTTTCTTGAAATCAGCATGGAGTGCATCCATTTTACCTTTTCTAGTCCAGACAAAGTAAGAAGGGCGGGCCTGGTGCAAGCGGTAGAGTCTTACCGCCTGTGACCGGAAGGTCCCGGTTTCGAGTCGCGGTCTCCTCGCATTGCACAAGCGAGGGTAAGGCTTGCCACTGACACCCTTCCCCAGACCCCGCACAGGTACGCCCTTTTTTAGTCCAGACAAAGTAAAGCACTAGCACTGGCCTGCCATCATCCAAGCACAGATCCGATGTCTGCCATCATCCAAGCACACATCAGAGTTTAAATATTTGATTTATGGTTCAGTTGTAGGTGAAAAGGGAGTTCCTTACTCTAATAATTAATAATAACTTAACAGTAATCAGATGTGAAATAAGATTCAGTTTTCCCTGCAGCTTTATCTTACTCCTGCTTTAAATAAGTTAACGGAACTGTCACAAAGATATGGCCATTTTGGTCCTCTTCCCGTAGATAGTTATTTTTTTGCTGTTATTTCTGTTTGTTCTCTTGTTCCAGGTTTCTGTAATTCTTATATTTTGTCCTTCTGTAGGGTGAGAAGATGGTGCTTGTGGCATGTGGATGGCGCCATACAATTACTGTGTCCGACTCTGGTAATCTGTACACTTATGGTTGGAGCAAATATGGTCAACTGGGACATGGTGATTTTGAAGATCATTTAGTTCCACATAAACTAGAAGCTTTGAAAGATAGCACTATATCCCAGGTAATACCTTCTAGAAACATTCCGTGACATGGTTTTATGAAGGATTAATACAATCAAGAACTTCATTTTCACTTTACTGGGATTTAGAAAGACGATGGTTCCATACTTCCATGCACAGGTTGACATATACACACCTTATACTGATGGTTTGAAGAATCTACTTTTTACATATTGGTATATATAGTCAAGTTTACATTAAAAGTTCAGGAAACTCCCAAACAAAAGGGAACATATCCTATGCTACTTAGCCGAGAGCCCCAGACAAAACGTCCCTGTCGGAATAAATTAGCATGTCCTCAAGTCTTTATTACTATTTGACTATTTGAGCTTTGGAATAGAAGGTTTACATACACAAGTTCTGCTGATTTAGATTTCAGGCGGTTGGAGGCATACGATGGCACTTACATCAGAGGGAAAGCTTTACGGATGGGGATGGAACAAGGTCGTTATCATCTTTGTGCCTCTACTTGCTTTGGTACCCAATTATTGGTGTCTGATTCAAACTGTACATGCAAAATTCTATCATGTACTTTTTATCGATGGATAAAAAAGGCAAACATTGAGCAATCAATCTCTTGCGTGGATAAGAACAATTTTTGTGTGTGCACATGTATAATTGCTTAGGCATGGTGAAACTCGGCATGATGATTGGGAAGTTCCTTTACACAACAGAAACAAGATGGACTTTTTCCTTGGTCACCTTGGGAAATTGAGTTCAGACAAAGACTGTTCTTGTTTCTATGAACATGATTGCTTATTTGCAAAATCACCATTCTTCTCCAGAAGAGGGACATATCTTGTCTATACATGTGCTTACTTTGGGCACAACTTAAAACTATGTACAATCTAGGCACATGGTGACTTTCATGCAGAGCTTTGCTTGCGTTCCATCTCTATTGTATTCTATTTTCACTTGCCCATGTGGGTTTTTTCTACCATTTTTTACACTGAATGTTTCTCCTATATTGAGGCTGCAGTTTGGACAAGTTGGAGTCGGCAACAATGATGATCACTGCTCCCCAGTACAAGTTCATTTTCCAGAGGATCAGGTATGGTGTGTTCGTGGGAGGGCTAGTGCATAATACAGACTTTTTCCTCAAACAAACCATCCTTGTACTACATGAACCAAAAAGTTATAGCCCCAAAAATGATGGTCACAGTTTGTTAATTGATCCATTTAAATGATAATTGCCAACTTTGCTTATTACTGTGATTACCGCAGAAAATTTCCCAAGTTGCATGCGGATGGAGGCATACACTTGCCCTTTCCGAGAAGAAAAATGTTTTCTCCTGGGGAAGGGGTACTAGCGGACAGCTCGGCAATGGTGAAATAGTTGACAGGTGGTTCTTATCTAGTGCACGAGCTCAATGTCTTCTCCCTTGCAAAACACTTGTTTATGCTAGTCTCTGCTACTTACTCTTCTGATCTGACAACTTATCGACTTATATCATCCTGAAGGAGTACACCTGTGCTGATTGATGCCTTAAGCACTGACGGTTCTGGCTGCAAGAAGTTGGAGTCATCAACGGCAGCCCCATTTGCAGGTTTGTTTCATTTAACTCTAGTAGCTGCAGATGCTTTTGCAAGAAGACAGGCAAGTAACGTGTCTCTATTTTTTGCAGCCAAAGTTTGGGTATCGCCATCAGAAAGATATGCCATAGTTCCTGACGAAAATGTGAGTTCAGTTCACCGCACGTTTAATTTGAAGCAAATTGCTTAAACTGCAGCATTAGTGACGCACAAGAAAAGCTCTTTTTTTTATAACACCGACATATCCATCTGGTTATTGTTGCTGAATTTTCCTGTGTTGATCTTCAGGTTCCTAAAGCAGGCGAAGGCACAGCACGAGGCAACGGCGCTGACGCGAATGTACCAGAGAACGACGTGAAGAGAATGCGCGTGCAGTCGTAGTTTTACCATCCACTCCACCGACCTCCCTTAACCCTACTAGTAGTACTATGCAGACCGGGTGCCCCATCTAGCGGGCGCCCAATTTTTGTGCATTATGTTGTGCCGAAGTGCTTTCCGCCAGTTAGTAGTAGCACTGCCTCGCATCGCAGCGATGATGTGTGTGTGATGTCATTCACCTCTTAGAGGTGGCTAGCCCAGTCGACCTGCACTTGCTGTGCTGTTAAGATGTGTCCTGGATCTTTGACATTGCATGGAGGGTACAATAAGTGCTTCATTCTCGTTTCTTCTCACTTGCATGATGGCCAACCGAAGCCATCAGTCTTTTCGGCAGATGCTCTGTTTTTCTTGGCGAGAAATACTATGATAAGTAAACTGAATTTTGGGTGTGAATGTGATTGGCTGAGGCCGTTACTCCCCTAAAGTTTATCCCTTATCCCATCGAATGTTTGACATATGTATAGAATATTAAATATAAACTAAAAAATAACTAATTGCATAATTTACGACTAATTTACGAAACGAATCTTTTAAGCATAATTAGTCCATGATTTGACAATGTGGTGCTACCGTAACATGTGCTAATGACGGATTAATTAGATTTAATAAATTCGTCTCGCGGATTATTTACGGATTCTGTAATTTATTTTTTTATTAATATCCAAACACCCCATATAACACCCTCAAACTTTACGTCCTCTATTTAAACCAGGCCTGATTTAGAAAGAAGAAAACATTACGGATGGGCATCTGCTACTGTTACCCTGGAGATGAGACACGAGAGGCAGAGAAAAGGAAGGCAGGTGGTACCACGAGGTTGACAAAGCAAGTCACGCCCTAGTGATTTGTGAATTCTGATGCCTGGACGTTCCTGCCCTTCTCGGCATTCACGATTGCACCAGATTGACCAAGCAGGTCACGTTTCCGAATTCTGTTCCTGGATGCCTGCCGCCTGCGTTAGGTGCGGCGGAATCTACTGTACCTAGGAGGAACCCACTGCAGGAATTCAGCCAGCCACGTCACATCGCTATGGCCCACACTCCCCCGTCCCACAACAACAGAACACCGTATTGGCCTTTCCCCTTCCGGCGACATCCACTTCACACGATCGATTCCTCTGCCACAAGAAACTGTTACTAGCGCACCATCGATTCCTATACCACGAGGAACTGCCAGTGCAAATGCAGGCAGGAGAAAACGAACCATCGTTGCCGCACTCGAGTTTAAAAACACTGCTCCGGCTTCAATCGCCGGCCACCCCGCTCTGCCTCGGCTGCTCGGCCATGCCCTGCCCTGCTCAGCAGCGCCGCACCGCATCACGCCGCCTCCGTCAGGCTTCTCCGAGCTCAACCGTCACGACATCCCCAGGCGTATGCCGCGCTCTGCCTCTGCTGTCGCGAGTCTCGTGCATAGGATCACCGAAGATGGACCTCCACTGGGTTCCGCCCCGCTCGGCGGTGCTGCGTTGCCTCGCCCGTTCGCCTGCGAAGCTTCGCCCGTCACGGCTCCCTCGCTGCGCCCGCACTCCTGTCGGCAGTAGAGCCCCGGTCCCCAGCCCCGGGCGGCTATTCGCCTGAGGCCTGAGCTCGACGGAGGAAACTCGGGGCATTGGTTCGCTTCCAAAATTTGCTATGTCAATAATTTGACAAGTCATGATTTGGTGAGTATTGTTAATACTTGTAAGATTGTCTAGGAGTAGATCCGGGGTGTTAAACATTTACTAGATGAATTAAAGACCTAGAACACGTTCTAGACAGAGAGAGAGAGACAGAGACAGAGAGAGGATAGAGGAAGAACGTGTCGAACCTAACACCGCAGGGGATAATCTAGAAGCCGCCATCACGTTCGTCGGTGAAGTCTGCGCACGGACAGCGATGTTCGGGGAAGAGGTCGATGAAGTCGTCGACGTCGGTGGAGCGAGGAGTCGCGGCTGGTGGCTTCTCGTCACTGACTGCGCCCCTCTCTAATCGGATTAGGGTTTAGATTTCGGTGGGGAGCTCAGCTCAGGCGAACCTCGTACTCAGAGCCGCCGACCCCCACATCTATTTATTGCGCAGTGTGACATGGACCCTCCAGCCATAGTGGGCTGGGCGCCCGCGATCAGGGCACGGATCAAAGGCCCAACTAGACCGTTGGGCCCAGTTTGGATTAGAGACCAACTTTAACGTGTCTTTCTCTTCTTTACGTAGTCCTCGTCGAATGGAATCCCTGTAAAGAATTAGCAACATGAACAGTTACACCTGAGTCAATCCACCAAGTAGATTTTAAATACTGTACATACAGGAATTCATTTATGAATGTAATAATGTTCTTACATTTCTTTACCATGATCATCTTTAAGTAATCGGGACAATTTTTCTTATAATGTCCCGTCTTCTTGAATAGAGACACTGGTCTTTCTCTACTGTGAACTTGTTCTGCTGAGGCTGATGCAGCATGGGACCCTTTCCCTTTGACTTTGAGGAGGAGTTAGCATTATTATTCCTTTTCTTGTTGTCTTTCACATAATTGATAGTGACACCATTGGCAGCTTTCATTCTCTCCTCTCTTGCACACACATAGCTATGAGCCTCTCTAAGTTCCACTTCTCAGCCTTTATGTTGTAGTTGACAACAAAAGTGTCAATTTGTTTTGATCAAGAAAGCAAAAATCAGATGGATAAGGAACTCTTTCTTGAAAGATAGATCCATTGGTTTTAGCTTGGATGTCAAATTGCTCATTCTTAGTATGTGCTCTCTTATGCCACTATTTTCAGAGTACCTCTCTGTCACCAGCTGTTTTATCAGCTAGGTAGCATATGTTTTGAAGAGCCAGTGAACTGACTCTTTATTCTATCAATGTAGTGGGTGACCGTGTCACACTCTGGGATTGAGCCCACAATTGCAAGCTCAATCGTGTTCTTTATCACAGCCAAACATTTTTTATTGGTAGTGACCCACTTCCTATGCTCAAGGTCATAGGATATTTTTAGGATGCAAAATCTCTCTCTAGTTACCCAAGCGGTCTTAGCCTCGTTTATCTCCCTCACCGGTGCCACAGGCTCAGTGGGACACGGTGAGGTGACTATCCAGTCCACCTCAGCCAAGATGAAGGTCAGGTCAATCTTTTTCTTTCACTCCGTGTAGTTATCACCTTTGAGAGTGGGGATCTCTTTGATACAACCCATCAAGGTGTATCCACCTAAAAACATAATTCATATAGAGTGAGAAAATAAATAATAACAACAGTTGCATGTCTTGATTCCAATGTTGGTCAAAATTAAAACATACAACTGTTTATACATTAAATCTACATCACCGTTGGGCAGAAGTAAAAATAATGCATAAAATCATTAAAATTACGATATTGTTATTAACAATGTTGGTCAGAAAATAACAACATCATAATCATGTCAAAATCTCTTTTTCTCCAATTAAATATCACGCTGATTCAAAATAACTGGAGAATAAATAATTTCTTTAACAGCGAAAAACGTATACTTAATCTCTTGAATTTTACCCACAGGGAAAAATTATTTTTTCTATTTTCTTTGAGCTATTTTTCATTTTCTAGAAATAAGCAATTACTGGAAAATAAAAAAATAAAAACTGATCTTGGGCCGGAACTCGCACAGTGGTCCGGCCTAGCTCTGCCCTTTCACTCGCGCGCGCGTGCGCTGCGCTGACCTAGGCCGCAACCTGAGCCTGAACCGACAAAGCAGCCTAGCGCGCTCGCCCGCCTGGGCCGGGAGCGGCCCGTTGAAACCTTGCCGTCGGATCTCAGCCGACGGTCGAGCGCAGGCTTCGCGGGATCAAAACCCGCTCGGCCGCGTCGGTCGAAAACCCTAGCCCCATTGCCCTTTCTCCTCTGCCTTTCTCTCTCAGCCGCGCGGCGTACCGAGCGAGTGAAGCGGTGGAGCGGGCAGCCATGGCGCCATCACCGGCCCCCTCGCCGGCGTGCGCGCTTGAAAGGTCCTAATGGCTAGAGGGGGGGTGAATAGCCTAATAAAAATTTCTACAACAACACTTAACCAAATGGTTAGACAATTATGAGGCGAAGCGAGTGTTGCGCTAGCCTACTCAAAAATGCAAGCCACCTACCACAATTCTAGTTTAGATAGTGTCAATTCACACAAGAGCAATGACACTACCCTATGTTAGTGTGCTCTCAAAGGATAACTAAAGAGCCACACCAACCAAGCATGCAAGCTCTCACAATTAGCTACACTAAAGAGCTTGTCAACTAGTTTGCGGTAAAGTAAAAAGAGTGATCAAGAGGGTTATACCACCGTGTAGATGAATGAACCAATCAATCATGAAGATGAATAACAATGATGACCAATCACCTCGGAATCAATGATGAACACAATGATTTTTACCGAGGTTCACTTGCTTGCCGGCAAGCTAGTCCTCGTTGTGGCGATTCACTCACTTGGAGGTTCACGCGCTGATTGGCATCACTCGCCAAACCCTCAATAGGGTGCCGCACAACCAACACAAGATGAGGATCACACAAGCCACAAGCAATTTACTAGAATACCTTTTGGTGCTCCGCCGGGGAAAGGTCAAGAACCCCTCACAATCACCACGATCGGAGTCGGAGACAATCACCTCCTCCACTCAACGATCCTTGCTGCTCCAAGCCGTCTAGGTGGCGGCAACCACCAAGTGTAACAAGCAAAATCCACAGCGAAACACAATCACCAAGTGCCTCTAGATGCAATCACTCAAGCAATGCACTTGGATTCACTCCCAATCTCACTATGATGATGAATCAATGATGTAGATGAGTGGGAGGGCTTTGACTAGGCTCACAAGGTTGCTATGTCAATGAAAATGTGCAAGAGAGCTCCCTTGAGCCGGCCATGGGGCTATAAATAGAGCCCAGTGAAATAGAGCCGTTGTACCCTTTCTTTGGGCACAACACGGGTGACCGGATGCTCGGTCCGATTGACCGGAGGACTGGCCCTCGGCGTCCGGGTCACGTGATTCACGCCACGTGTCCCCGCTTCAAATGTTGTTTCGTCGATTTCAACGGTCATGAAGCTAACCGGACGCTCGGTAATCGACCGGACGATTACTGGAGCCATGTCGTCCGGTCGAGTCTAAAGAAGGGTCCAAATCCATTTTTCTTCGACGACGACGCGTCCGTCCACCTCGACCGGACTCGGCCAAGCGTCCGGTGGTATACCCTAGCCATCAGATCGCCGAGAAGCGACCGGACGCCGACGCAGTCAGCGTCCGACATGATACGGATTCAGCGTCAGGTCCATTGGACCGACGCCAAAGATCATTTCGATCAACTCCATTTCAACTCTTACTTCTTCACCCTTGCTCAAGTGTGCCAACCACCAAGAATTTTGCATCGTTAGCAATAGAAAATAGACATTTCATTTTCCGAAGCGTTGAATCCCGCCTCATAAGCTTCGGCAGAGAGGGAGAGAGGGACCCAAACCCATCTCAACCCTACAAACACCTTGTGCACATGTGGTAGCATATTTACACAAATATTATCAAGGGTGTTAGCACTCCACTAGATCCTAAATGCATATGCAATGAGTTAGAGCATCTAGTGGCACTTTGATAACCGCATTCCGATACAAGTTTCACCCCTCTTAATAGTACGGCTATCAAACCTAAATGTGATCACACTCTCTAAGTGTCTTGATCACCAAAATAAAATAGCTTCTACAAGTTATACCTTTGCCTTGAGCTTTTTGTTTTTCTCTTTCTTCTCTTCAAGTTTAAGCCCTTGATCATCTCCATGCTATCACCATTGTCATGTTATGATCTTCATTTGCTTCTCTACTTGAAGTGTGCTACCTATCTCATGATCACTTGATGAACTAGGTTAGCACTTAGGGTTTCATCAATTTACCAAAACCAAACTAGAGCTTTCAGGCGCTCCCAATGAGTTAGTTAGCGCCATTGTCGAGTGCTCTGCCCATGGTGCCCCCTTGGCCGAGCTCCCATGAACAAGCTTTCCTCCCGGCTCTTCTTCTCTCCTGCCATGCCGTGAAGGGTCATCCCAAGCATAAGCGGCGATGTAGGTCCCTTTCCTCTTCTTCTCCGTCCCCTTCTTCTTTTGGATTTGGATTCTACTTCTTTTATCTGAACCGGTGTTGGGGATTAGGGTTTAGATCTAGGGTTAGGGTTCACAATCTGACCCACTGTTCTTCTTCCCCAGAGGGTCTTCACGGTTTAAGGTTCGGCTTTGATTCTCTTCTAGATCGAATCCATCTTCTTTTGTTCTTTCCTTCACCCAGTTAAGGTTAGGGTTAGGGACCCCTTCTGTCTGCTCAGATCCGAAAGGATCTAATTCATTATTTTCTTTTCTAATCGTTTCTAGCCCCTGCCGAGATCTACCCCTAGCAAACCGAACTTTGATACCATTGTTAATACTTGTAGGATCACCTAGGAGTAGATCCGTGATGTTAAACATTTACTAGATGAATCTAAGACCTAGAACACGTTCTAGACAGAGAGACAAACAGAGAGAGGATAGAGGAAGAACGTGTCGAACCTGACACCGCAGGGGATGATTTAGAAGCCGCCATCACGTTCGTCGATGAAGTCTGCGCACTTGCAGCGACGATCGGGGAAGAGGTCGATGAAGTCGTCGACGTCGGTGGAGCGAGGCGGCGCGGCTGGTGGCTTCCCGTCACTGGCTGCGCCTCTCTCTGATCGGATTAGGGTTTAAGTTTCGGTGGAGAGCTCGGCTCAGGCGAACCCCGTACTCAGAGCCGTCGGCCCCCACCTCTATTTATTGCGCAGTGTGACAGGGGTCCTCCAACCATAGTGGTCTGGGCGCCCGATCAGGACACGGATCGAAGGCCCAATTGGGTCATTGGGCGCAGTTTGAAATTAGAAATCAATTTGACAAGTATTTAGTTTGCTACTAAAATTTATCAAACTCTCATATTTAGCTTGCTAAATCTATGTTAATGTTTTTGTTCAACTTTTGACGTGCAAGTCTCTGGCATGGCAAATTTTGGAAGTCAAAGCCCTTCATCCGTGCCGTTGCCTCCATGCACGCGATGAGCGTGACATCCCGAAGGGGAAGAAAAATCGAGAAAGAGGATATGAGCGGACATGCGGACAGCAGAGGTCCGATGCGGAACGGCCGCTCCGTGGGGGAAGAACGAGGGGATGAGAGGCCATCCGTTCCACGTCTGACGACGCGAGTAATGTCGTTTCTGATTTTTTTAATTTATTTTTTCATAGGAGTGGCAGTTTTGTTTTAGTGTGAGATGAAAGATATTTATTTCCTGTATTGGAACGATAATGATGTGCTGTGCTTTCTTCTTTTAAACTGGAGACCAAGCCTGTACCCAAGAAACTGCAGAATGTGTTCTTTTGAGTTACACGTGAGTAGATATCTTGCCTTCATCTTTTGTCATATATATACAATATACGTGTTTTTTTCTTTACCAAGGTATGTATTTGCTTGACAAGAGTTTAAAACATCGAGTTTTTGTTAGGTTTTACTAGAGATAAATCATTTCTTCCATTAATAATTTGAGCTATCACGTTATAAAATCCCCGCAGCAAGGCGCGGGGGTGTTAGGTATTTTCTAGTTCAGAGAATTGCGTGACCGCGTGACTCGGTTGCGCACGCCCTCGCATTGCGGCCTTGTGGGAATGGGCGGCCCTGCCGAGGCGGGGCCACACGGGGACAGGAAGGAGGCGGCCCAAGTGAGCGGACATGTAGCGCGAGGCTAGCCACCCTAGCCCAGTCGCAGGACAGGAGTGCCCGGGGCCGGGGCCGGGTAGCCCGTAGGCCGTAGTGGCACACTGGCGCCGTGGCGCGAGCTCGGCACGTTTTGTCGGTCGTCGACGCATTCCGCTTGGCGCGCCTGGTTTGCATCACCAGCCGACAGCCGTGTGCATCACCAGCACGCTCCTTCTGGCTTTCTTCTGGTATGAAAAAAAAAAAACCAAAGGAATTGTGGTACCACTAAGGCACTAACCACTTGATGACACGAAGCCCGCACGCCGCCTCTGCAACGGCAACGTCGCACGCCGTGGGACTTCCGGTCCGGTCATGTCCGTCGTCGTCATTCGTCAAAAGGCAAGAGACCTCTTCGCCGGCCGTCGTCCCTGCCGCCAGCCGCACCCACACCTCACCTGTCCTGACACACACACACCTCACGGCCGGCAGTTCGTTCGGTCGTCGCTAGACGCTAGCTGCACACACACACTGCAGACTGTCCAGGTGCAGTCACCGCAGCGGCACGTACGTACGGCCAACGGTGGATCCGGGTTACATATGCCACGCGCATTTCGTGTTACCAGCCAGAAGGTTCAGTACAGCGCCACCTACCTGCTGGCTACTGGGCGCGCGGGGCAGGGGACACAGGCGCGGCACCAATCACAATCAGGCTTCGCCCAAGGGAGCGCGCGCGCGTCATTAAACAGCGGCAGCGACGTCATCTATATCCCTGGCTACCATACCCATAATAACACATCGTGTTAAGAATGGACACGGACTCCACCTTCCCTGCCACTTCGACGGCGACGCCCGAACCGCCTGCTGTCGTCGCAGGCCCACTCCCGGCGTCGGCGTGCCGCCAGCTCCCGTTCCACCGGTTCGCGGCCGCCTCGTCGTCGCCACCACCCTGGTTCCCTTCCTCTCCTTCTCCTACCGCCGCCACCGGTGACGACGAGGAGCCGAGCGCTCACACTCACCGCCATGGCCGCCGCAGCGCAACAACAACAAGGGCCGCCGCCGGGCGCGGGAGGAGACACTGCGGCTGCGGCGGCGGCGGTTGCGGAGGTGGAGGACAGGATGGACCTGCTGTGGGAGGACTTCAACGAGGAGCTGGCGCGGGGCGGCCGCGGCTCCTGCTGCCGCGCCCGCGCCGCCGGCGGCGGGCTGCAGCAGGCGCGCGACCTGTGGTCGTCGGGCTCGTCGGACGCGGAGTCGTCGGAGCCCGCGGCGGCCCGTGGGTGCGCGCCGGTGCTGCGCCCCTCGTCCAGGGCCGGCGGCGCGGTCCGGCACTGCCGCCGCCGCGCCGGGACGTGGGTGCTGCTCATGAGGATCTTCAGGCGGCTCTTCGTCATCGAGAAGACCGTCTCCGCGTCCGCGGCCGCAGCCAGGCGGCAGCACGCCGCTGCCACGGCGAGGGCGAGCTGATGCCAGCATGCTTGCAGCCAATCCAGCTCCTGCTCGCGCAGGCAATTGTCTCCATGATCATGAATGCTGCGCTGAGCGTGAGCTGCATCCTGCACTGCATGCATGCTTGCTATGCGAACGTACGCCGTACGGCCACTAGTAAATTATACTGCTATGCTACTCCATTAGACATACAAGTAAGGGGATCTGTTCTTGATGCTGTAAGTAAATAGGGTTCAGTGGTTCATCATCAGCAGATACAGAGAAATTAGAGCAATGCCATAGCAATGTCACTCCATTTATTATTTCGGCTCCGTTCGCTCGGAGGAATTTGGAGGAATCTATGAGAGGAAAACACTGTTCCTGGATGAAAAAAGAAGCGGATCAAGCCGGGTTTAAGCTGGGTTTAAGGGCACGCGAACGGGCCTTCTTCATTCTCCCGCTGTTAATTAGCACTTAATTTTTTAATCATGTTCTATGAATTCATCAATAGTAGAAATGTAAAGAAAAAAAAGAAAGGTCAATGCATTTGCACATTCTTCTTTCTGTGCCCTTTATTTATTAGTCACGAGACGCTGTCTTGTGATTATTGGTATCATATCTGCGGATCTGAAGAAAGAAAGAAAGGTGCACGGCTTTCTCAGGACAAAAAAATTTTGGTGTGGATGTTGTGGATTCGTGGGGATGAAAGGTGCTTGTGCTGTTTACTTGGGAGAGGATGCGTGTTTTTATTTGGGCGGCTCACATAAGGGCAAGGGCATTAGCTCGTAATAATGAACTGACTAAAGGCAAAAAAGAGACCACGGACAGGGGCATCCAACCTCCTCCTGCCTCAGCAGTAAGAACCCTTTTGTCCTTTCCAAGGTAACTTCACAATGCAAACTGCCTAGGATCACCAATTCAGCATAATGGCAGTGGGCACTATGACTGTTTGAGTACTTGCTGAACTTCTATTTTCAAGGCTGCGAAGTGGCACTGCGGCTAGAGAGTAGAGACTCACAAACTTCCCTTTTTTTATTTTAAAGAAGAGACTCACAAACTTCATCACAGCAAAGAAACTGACACTTTTGTCTCATTGCTTGTACTATTTACTTGCATCCAAATTCAAAAACTGCACGGGCATAGATAGGAAGGGACAATTCTTGCAAATTATGTTTGGATCCTACCATAATTAAGTCAATAACAAATTGGGGTCAACTAATAACAGCAGAATAGACACGAGATAGCCCACAAGGACCTAGGGATGTACACACATAAACACAGCGTGGTGGCAGCTGGGCCTACTTTCACCAACTATCTCAGGCCGATGTGTGCACCAGATTAATACCATGCATTTTCTAGGCCAATAATAGAATGATGCAGCAATGATCAATTCTTTTTAGTAACGAAGAGATTCTCTCAAGATGATGGCAGACCGGGCCAATGCAACAAGAACTGAAATTTCCTGCGAAGTTACAACCCAATGCCTTCGTCGAAACATATTATCTGATCATGGCTGTCAACTGAAAGTAACATGACTAGACCAATATGCATTACCGAGGCACCAATGATGATACTTGAAATTTATACATATATAGTATATACAGCAATTTTTTTGACAAAAAAGATATACCACAAGCATTGTATGGTTTCTGCCTATTAATAATGGCACCAGTAATGGATAGTTTGGGCGCAATTATGTTGATATCTTGTTAACAAAAGGGGAGCGCCTCACAATTTGCTTGATGCCACAAGATACTTGGTATGACGGGCCTGTGCCATCAATTTTCCTGTCTTTTTCTTCCTGAAATCGACAGAGACGACACCAACTGACTTTCCAGCACGCAACAACTTCCCCTCAACCTCTATTTCCTCCTGGACAATTAACCCAAAAAAGTTAACAGTATTGTCGAAAAACTTTGTAAGGAAACATAGCACTGTGGAGACAAAGAAAAAGTTGAAAATAAAACTATTTTGGCAGTTCATCACCACCAAGGGCAGTGCAAAGAGAGGACTAACAAAGTAAGAAGTGGGGGCTACGGGCAAACATGTCAAAAAGTGGTAGATATTTAAAACCTACATAGAGAGTGGCATTTTGAAGTGTTGCACGTCTAAAGTGGTGGATTTTTTAAGCTGCACTTGGCGATGGCAAATTGGCAATTTTCACTAGCCGAAGCTGGCTTCATTTTTCTTTAACTTCCAGTAGAACAACCAAAGGACCATTCAGTACAATGCGACATCTGATAGTATCAACTACCAAGATGGCTACTTTTTATACCTACCAGAAAATTTTCCAGATATAAAGTGATGCAATCCTACACTGTTCAATAATGTTATCCAAAACATCGCTCATTTATGTAACCATCTTTTCTGCTTACACACGCAACACATCCATACTTTAGGTAAGAACATAACCATTAATGCAAGTCGCCAAAAGGTAAGAAGCAAAGAAGTAAAATAACCATTTCATCTTGGCAATAGAGCTGTTGTCATGCAATGTTTACTTACTGATGTTAAGTCATAAAAATGTAAGCATTCAACCTTTCTAGAGGACCACGAAGCAACACTAAAGCTTCTAGAAGAATCTGAAAAGATGGGTATTTATCTATTCTAAACAAACAATGTTAAGACCTAATGATACTGGCCTGGCAACAGGCACATCTGTTATGCATGAGCATAAAAAACAATAAAAAGTATGAAACTATCAGCATTGAGTCATTTATTTGGCAGCGATTAGGGAAAATATCTTAATCACGCTGAAGACGGATTTCTAGTATAAGAAAGATGGATAACTGAATTAGGATTTAAATAACCTGTTGGAAAATTAAACTAAAGACAGTTTCATAGGTTCTGAAATTATATTATCATGAATACATCAAATTGTCTAGAACAGAGAGATAAGAACATATAATGAACTCTTTGCCACATCCTAATAAACACCCTGTTCGCTTGTTGGTTTCAGCCAGCCCAAACCAGCCAGCCAACAGTGTTTTCCTCTCATAACAAACTAGCACCAGCCAGCCCAAACCAGCCCAGAAACCAACCAGTGAACAGGCCGAAAATCAAAGAACTTTCACTATTGAAGTTGTACCATCATTAATTACCACAAAATGCACCCTCTAGCCTCTACTAGAGACAGATATACTAATAAATTATTTCAGAATGCTAGAAAATAATTAAAACACAAATCCAACAACTTCCATCAAGTTAGAAGCAATTTCAGCATCCAATCCCAGCTCATCCCTACAGTCCTACTCCTTATCAGCCAACTTCACAATACAGCGCATTGACTAGTATCCAGTATATAGCAGAGAAGATTTTTTTTTAGAAGGGACAGCAAAAGCTTTGCCGCAATTTTTATTAGACGGAGAAAATAAAAATACAAGGGTCGGCCCAGTTTTTTGAGTGGAAACCAGGCCTAAAAACCACCAACTGGGAGAGTCCACCACTCATTCCGACCAACTTTTGAAAACACCGTCCAAACAACTAACGACTATAGCAGAGAAGATCCCTGAGGTATTATAGCCATAACAACTATGAGTGTGCCATTGAGATCTAAGCCCACAGCTTAGTGACAGTTTCTGACAACCAGAAATCCATGCACAACAGCAAGCAGTAGAATTGTACCAATCATGGGCGATTACAATTTCTAGGAGACAAACCACAACATGCTAATCTGACATTCTCCTTAAACATGCTAGAACCACGACACAGCCTAATTGTCAATAGAAAGTACAAACCTTCAAATTATCAGAGAGCAATTACTGAAAGTGAATACCATTTCTAGCTCTAGCACTAGCAGGCTAGTAGCATAAGTGCAAAATCGATCCAGTTCCATCATAAATCCCGATCCCCATGAGCTATTTTTTTTAATACCATAATCGAACACAACAGGAAATGTGAACCGAGAGAGGGTGGGTCTCAGTCTCACCCCGACTGCAGCCGCGTCGACAAAGGAGACGCTGATCTCGATGGAGACCCCGCTGCTGGGGAGCCCGCTGCAGAAGAACACGGCCGATCCCAGCTGGTCGGCGAGCGTCGCTGTGACACCGCTGCGGAGGTAACCCCACGGGACTCTGCAAGGGCACCACAGATCGAACCAAGCAATCAGGCAGCATATGTCTCGTCAGTCGCTCCGACTCCGTCGACACAATCTCAAACCGAAGTCGGAAGCGAAAGGGAGTGCGAGGCTTACCGCAAGGCGAGGTGTTACGACGAAGGAGCAGAGGAGGCGGCCGTGCTCGGCGGCTTCGATGCTGACGCCGCTGAGGACGAATGGGTCGTAGAAGTGGAGCCGCGCAGGGGTGGAGCCGGTGATTTTCTCGGCGGTTGCGGTGGGCTCCAGGCTATTCCGCACCGCTTCCGGGTCCATGGTGGTGGCGCGCCGGGCGACGAGGAGGGGAGGCCGCGCCACCTGATTCCGACGTGGTGTCGTGTCCGCAACCAAGACGCACGCAGCTCCGTCGAAAGGAGGCTGCTGCAGTCCTGCAGAGCGTGCTGGTGGGGGTCGGGGAATGTGGGATTGCTAGGGTCATAGGCTGACAGGTGGGGCTACGGGCGGATAGTTAGGCCCCGTTTAGTTGCTGAATTTTTTTGAAAATATCATTGTAGCACTTTCGTTGTTATTTGATAATTAGTGTCTAATTATAGTCTAATTAGGCTTAAAAGATTCGTCTCGTGAATTTCGTCTAAATTGTGTAATTAGTTTTATTTTTTATTTATATTTAATGCTTCATACATGCGTCTAAAGATTCGATGTGGTAAAAATCTTGAAAAATTTTGCAAAATTTTGGAAACTAAACATGCACATAGTACGAGTGCAAGGAGCCGCACTGAGGCCAAAAAGAAAAGAAAATGAATTCAATGTTGAGCATATGCATACCCAGAGGCCAAAAGTGGAGGCTTTTATTTAAGTCATTAAAAAAGTTTATAATTATGCACAAGCTATTAAAAAAAGTTGAGCTCACACGAGTGCCATCATTCTAAACTTTTTTACTCTCTAAGCCATTCCGTCGGTGGCAGCCCTTACATATGGGTCCGGTCAGTGTAAACGTCCAAAATACCCTTCTTTTGTTATATCCCCTTGTTTCTCTCTGCCTAGTGGGGTCAAGCTGTCAGCGACTTGGCTCCACCTTCCTCCTCGCCACGCGCCAGCCTCACGTCGTGCCGACGCTAAGGTGGAGCTCGCTCGCCCACACCCGCACCGCGGCGGAGCTCACTCACTCGCGCTCGCGGTGGCCGGGCAGAGTTCGCCTGCGCCCACGCCCGCGGCGGCAAGGATGGAGCCGCCTCCACGCGCAACCGTGGCGGAGCTCCCCCCTGCGCGCGCTCATTGTGGCCGGGCGGAGCTTGCTGCGCCACACCCGCGCCGCCATGCAGAGCAGAAGCGAGCTCCTCGGTGCACATGCTTTCATGGCGCCTGGCAAGTGAGCTTGCGCGTGCCGCGCCGCGCGCCCATGGAGAGGCCGAAGCCGCCTGCGCGCCGCGCCCGGTGTGGGTGGGCGTGGTTTCTCTGCACTCGTGCTCATGCGCGAGCGGCGGCGAGCTCCCCAGCGCTCCCATGGCGGAGCTCTCGACACACTGCGCCGCGCCGTCACGGTCTCACGGATGCCACAAAGGCCGGGCTCGGGCTGCCCTACCGCCGCGCGCGCCTCCGCCTCCGCGAAGTACCTGGCCTCCGTGCTCCTCAGGGCGCGGGCAAGCGCGTCCAGCACGTCGTGGGCGTGCTCCCGCATGCCGCGTGCGCGTCCGTTGCACCGCGCCGCCACCTCAGACTCTTCCTCCTCCTCCTCAGACTCTACGCGCAGCAGCACGCCATTGAGCTCGCGGCACACGGCCGCATACAGGTGCGCAACGAGGTAGTTGGTGGCGTCGGGCCCGTTGAAGCCGTCGTAGATGCCGACGAACATCCAGTCATGTTCCTCTGACACAACCACGTGCACCCTCGCCGCGCCGCCGCAGCCGTCGACGTCCGGTGCGTCGTTGCCGACTGCCACGGCGTGCTCCTTCCCGCCGCCGGGGGACACACACGGCCACGTGCACAGCACCGACGCGACGACCCTGCGGAGGCCGCCAAGGAGCGGGTTGGCCTTGCAAGACGCCTACCGCCGCCGATGCCGCATGGCGTAGAGGTCCGCGAGGATCTGCTCGTCGGTGCACGCGGGGAGGCGCGACACGGACGACACGCCCGAGTTCGTGGCCGACGTCGATGGCGACGCGACGCTGCCGCCGCCGCCGTAGCTGTCCAGCGGGCCCGAGTACTGTTGCGGCTGGAGCGTCCGGAACGAGGAGTTGGAGCTGTCGAACGACGACAAGCCGGAGATGGACGCCCCGGTCGCTTAGGAACAAGGAGCCGCCCACTGTGGACTAGTTCGACGGCAGTAGCACGCCGTGGATATGCCCCTCGTGGACGGTGTAGAGCTCCATCGGCCCTTCGTGTGCACAGGAAAGAGAAGAGAAAAGAGAAAGAGAAAGTTTGGGTGGCTGACAAACAGACCCCACTATTGGATAAAATGGTCATTTCACCTATCTGCTTGACACCATTAGATAGAAAAACGGATAGAATGGCTTGGAGAGAAAAAAAAAGTTCAGAACGGTGGCACTCGTGGGAGCTCACTTTTTTAATGGCTTGTGCATGATTACAAACTTTTTTAATGGCACACAGGTAAAAGCCTCCCAAAAGTTCTGTACGACACTCATGCAATTGAGCAGGAATGATTCTCTTTGATTGGATTCCTCTCTGCTCGCTCCGTCCCTAAAAGAAAGTCACTGTGGTATACATGAATGCCAAACTTTCTCAACTTTGACTAGTTTTGTAGAAAATACGTGCAACATTTATATTTTCAAATAAATTTATTATGAAGCTATATTCAACAATCTATCTAATAATATTAATTATGTATTATAAATATTAATATTCTTTTATATATAATTGGTCAAAGTTAAAAATGTTTGACTTCTCGGGAAGCGAGAATGACTTCTATTTTTGGACAGAAGGAGTATGCAAAAACATACCGCCTCCATCAAAAAGTATATAATTCTGGATTTAGATTGAGTTAAACTTCCTTAAATTTAACTAAATTTATAAAAAAATATTATTAATATTTATGACTCCAAATAAATATACTACAAAGATATATTCTATGATTACTCTAATACTTTCTCCATTTCAATTTGTAAAGATGATTTGGCTTTTTTAGATACATATTTTGTTTGTTATACACTTAGATATACGCTATAGCAAGATACATAGTAAAAATGATTTATCTATAAAAGCCAACACTTTTTAGTATCATTAATACTATTTTTTCGTAAAATTGGTTGAGTTTAAAACTGTTTGTCTCGTTAAAAAAAGTTAAGAATTGCATTCTTTTTATGACGGGGTTAGTACTTTGAAGCTAATAATAGTATATCGACACGACCTCCTGTATAGCATTTTAGCTAGCAATATCTATAAAATATAGGAATATTTATATTACTTATTTATAATAAATCTAATATGTCAGCCTTGTTTTATGAACCTATATAAATTTTAGATCCTAATATTCAAAAGTATAAGCTAAAGTTTGACTTATAAAAACCTAGAAGCACTAAAAAGGACTATTTTGCATGAATTGGGCAGAAACAACAAAAAGGTTAGTGCTGGCTGGATTACAATGGCCTTATTCAAAACAGTAACGGCTTATGACAGCAAATTTCAACCAAATAAAACTAGCAACCTCAGTGCATTTAGTATAGCAATGACTTATGAGAAATGCTTTCCAACTTATAACTGGTTATTTTCTCTGAACCTCTCTGTATGTGCCTCACTCTCTCACTGCATAGCTACATATGACACCTCGATCAGAGTTCGTCTTTCGGAAGCTCTGACGGCGATGAAGGTGTAATGCCCTCTTCTACAGCACCAGCACCCGTCTGCGTCACTTCGTCCATGGCACCAGCTCTGGGGCCCTTGTTCTCCTTGATGAAACTGATGATGTCCTCGGTCGTTCTTCCACCATTGTAGGAATAAAGGTCACCGGTGGTCGAGTAGAAGTAGATCGTGGGATATCCCTCCACCGCCAAGTCGGTAGGGATATCGTTTGCAGTGCCATCCTGAGAAAACCAAAAGGGCTTAATGATAAGTAATGCCTTGTATGAGCAAGATCATACCATACGACAAAAAAGGAAACAAAGAGAAAAACGATTGAGCATCAGTCGCTAAATGGCTCACCATCTTTGCAATGACGACTTCTTCGTCGTCTTGTAATGCGACTGCAACTTCCTCCAAGATTGGGGCCAGCTTCCGGCAATGGCCACACCAAGGTGCATAGAACTCGAGCAGTACTGTGAAGAAAAGATCATGTCAAGCATGATGTTGTAAAACAAGTTGAATGCTAAACGTAACTGAAATCTGAATGTAACCACTAATACAATCATATTGAGCTAAGGCCTAAGGGGCACATATTACTCAGACAACCGATGGAAGTGTGAAAAACTAACCATTTTTGCCAGAGTTGAAAACAATGTCATCAATACTGTCAGCCACAACGACCTTAACAGGTTGGTCATTCACCTTTGGGATTGGCTCCGACTTAACATAAGGAGTCAAGTTTCCATACTGCATGAACCAACACAAGACAGAACAAGATTGAGCAGGAAATTATTTGCTCATAAAGTACTGTGAAACAGCTCAGTAACTAAGAAACATAATAAAGTAGAAAAGGCCTCAACTATATACTCCTTCAACCAGGGGATGATTTGATCAGGGTCGATAGTTGGATTGAGATATTTCCCACCCTGTGCAATCACAAAAAGGAGGGGCACATCGTTCTCTTTAAGCCCAAAGTACTGAAACCATTTGCATGAGAGCTTGTTAGGCATCTAACCGTAGAAATTTTTGACAAACAAATACTCAGAGAAACTACAAATAGCAACCTTGAAGGCACGGTCAGCAGATTCAACATCGCCAATTAGAAAACTTATGTTATTAGCACTGAATTTCTTGGCAGCTTCTTGAATCTGACTCTTGAAGGCCTCAATTCTGTCGTCGCTGAAGTTCAAGAAAAGCATCGCCTGTCCAACCATATTTGTTTTCAGTGCATATGAAAATTAGGTCGATGCATTCACGAAAGCAGAAATGTCAGTTCAATGTGGATAATATAACCTATTACCTATACTTATGCAGAGGTAAATGAATTACCAAAACTTAGCTCTTCTACCCAACATACAACTCATATATTCAAACTCTGAAGTAGCAAACAGAACATAATCACAATTGTGTTACTCACTTTGGCACTAGGAGTGCTGTAGTATCTCTCAAGAAACTTATGGTTGGTTGGATCAGCATCGAATGTAACTACTGCAGGGAAACCAGACACCTCAATGAATTTTTCAAGAGCATCTGAATCAAAATCCTGAAAAAGATCAAGAATGGTGTTTTAGTGCTAGTGTGTTCAGTCATGGATTAGCATCAAATGTATACATGAAAAAGGAATGTACCAGTGAATCAGCAAAGAGCTCGTCGAATGGTTTGAAGAGACGAACAACAGGGCCCTTGATGGCCTGATCACCACGTGGCAGAATGCTTGCGTCTGACGTGTGAAAGAAATCATAGTCTGACCGTTTTTTCTCTGCCACGGCCATGAAATTCTCATACTCCACACCGGCAAACTCAGGGAAAACTCCAACCTGCAGCAAAATGTTTCACACGCATGCATCACATTCGCATCCATCACTCTCCCATGGCATTCAGGAAACAGGAAACTTTTTTTTTTGAAAGAACAGGAGGCATCATTCTTAACGGTAGTAGAAACGTACAAGAACCACCCCCTTGTCACCGATGGACGACTGAGCAGCCTCCGCCGAACTGAGCTCGATGGAAGCTGGGCCGACCTGCTTCTTGAGGTACTCCACGATGCCGTCAGCGTCCCTCGGACCACCATAGCCACGCACGTCCTTCCCTCCATTCTCTATGATCTTGATGGTGGGGTACGCATGCACCTGGTACTTGTCCTTGATCTCCTTGTTCCTCTCATCGTACGCATCCACTTTGGCGAGCACCAACGGCGGGTCGTGATTCCTCAGAACGGCGGCTGCCTTCTCGTACTGCATGCATGGTATCACGGACATGGCACAAAACAAATTAAAACACACATGTCCCTGAGTTGCATCCTCCGGGGCAACCAGGCAAGCCCGGCAGTCTGGCACAGCGGCCCGTATGAAGGGAGCAGCGAGTTGTTACCTCTGGAGCGAGTTGCTTGCAGTGGCCACACCTGCGGATAAGTTACCATTACTCCATTAGCCAGGAGTTGAGACAGAGCACGGCTGCTTAGATAATGGAGTCACTGAGCCGTACGTACCATGGCGCGTAGAACTCGACGACGATGAACTGTTGCTTGGTCACCACCTCCGAGAAGTTACTGGCGTCCAGCGTCAGGACCACCTCGCCCAGCTCCACGGCGGTCTCCACCTCAGCCAAGACAGGTCCAGAGAGGAGAACGCCAGCGAGGAGGATGGTGAACGGAAGCACCAGGGAGACAGCCATCGCTTAAGCTGCAACTAGAAGTGCCCTGCTGAGGGTAGAACCCGAGTTAATATATGCGAGGGTATTGCATTGCGTTTGCAGGGATCTCGAGGAAGTCAATGGGAGGTTTGTTTGCTAGCTTCTCTTTGACTCCATGTTTCTGAACTTTGCCTTCAAAAGACATTAGCTCGTTCTTCTTTTTTTCTTCAGCAAATGATAGCCTGTAGCTTGTAAGTGCTATCAAATATTGATAGTACAACGCCTTTTCTGTGCAAGTGGCATATCACCTTTGTAAATTAGAGTTATGCGCTAGAAGCACACCAATTTTTTTGTAAGTTTTCCAAGTACAAGTACTTGGCGTTCTTGCCATCCCTAGGAGACTAAGAGCAATTTACAGAAAAATACATAACACAACATTAATCTACGAGTAATTTCTACCACTAATGCTCACCATCTGGCAATGCCGGCAGTAACAGCTCCAGCTTCTTATTCCCACCAGGCACCAGGGGCGGGTGGGCTTCATCCTGAATTCTAGAGAGGATTCCAGACTCAGAGCGGCTCTGTCTACTGAACACTCTGTTCTTCCTTTCTTTCCAAATTTCCCTGATTGTGAGGATGATCAGGGACCTGAGACCCAGCACCAAGGCTGACTTTGCTTGTTAACTGAATGTTTGAATGTAACAATCCCGCAGGGAGGTAGCCGACTGCTAGGTGGAAGGTTGTAGCCCCTCATGCCACAGTCAAATCACTGCCACCGCCCATGCCATCTTTATTACTGGACGCTCATATGCTAGGTGCGTCGCCGTCTCCAGGTCCCTGATACATAATTGGCAGAAATATGAATTCAATTTTTTTTCAAATCAAAAGGAAAAAGAAAACGAATTCAGCCATTTGCATCCGTGCTGCCGTCCATACATATTCTTGTAGGGACTAGGGACATCCTCACATTTACGCCTTGGCATCGCTGATGGCTTCCGGATGTGTGTAGCTATTGCTGAACTTACTGCGCCCCCTGAATTTCAGCAAATATGAAGAGCGTGTGGCGTACTCACCATTTTCATTTGCAGTCCACACACTGTGGTCAGGCTGGTCAGATGCAGGATCCATATTAAAATCTTGCTGCAGGACGAAGAGCTTGACAAATTCCTCAAATAAAGGAAAAGTCAGGACATGGTCCAAATCTGGAAATCCATCTATCATTTATGCGAGCCTCAGCCATTGTATTCTTTCTTCTCCGTGCGCAAACAGGGACAGGAAGAGTGCCGACAGTGTGTCTTCTCGAACCCAACTTGATGTCCAGAAACATGCTGTGGCCTATGAGGCTGCTGTTCAGTTTGACAACCATAGCTGCATTAATGCTCTAAAGGCAGGGGCATGCCAATCCAAGGGCGGTCTAATGCAACCCATTCAAACCACAGCCACCATAAGCATTGAGCTCGCGCATAGCATTCAAGGTCCAGTATGCCAAGGCCGCCCATTTCTAATAGCTGACACATTGTTGTCCAAGGCACCTTGTATTTACCCGTGGAGAGTTCCTGATCCCCCACCCAAAGGAAACATCTCTGTAGCTTATCACATTCTTTGAAAAATCGTTTTATCTGGTTGAGGACAGTGACCAGGTTGGGAGCTTAAAATTGATCTGAAAAACTCCCTTCTCTTTTACTAGGTAAGAACACGATCCTTTCAGTCAACCAACATGCTTTTGGCCCTGTCCTGTAAGTATGGATGTACTAACCTCGCCAATATAATATCAAGTTGTCAACACCTACTTCTGAAGTCATCTGACTTTCTACTTCTATCCACAGGCTTCAGAGCAGTAATTCATCAAGCCATCATCAATTTCATCTATACTCGTTCTGCCCATCTCCATCTGAATTAGTCTTAAAGTACTGTGTATCTCATTCCTGCATGGATGTCGATTATCTCGTGCCAGAAACACATTCATTTTCCTTCCTATCTCAATCCAACTACACCCCGGCTGCTTACTGACACCCCTGTCCTTCATGGATCTCCTCACTCTAAAAACTTCTGCCCATTTCCCCATCTCAGCGTACATATTCGAGAGAAGGACATAGGGTCCAGAGTTCTGAGGATCAAGCTCAAACAATCTCCCAGCTGTCCATTCCCCCAACTCAACATTCTTATGCAGCCGGCAAGCACCTAGCAGAGAAGCCCAGAGCACAGAGTCAGGTTCCATTGGCATGTCCTTTATGAGCTCCTCAGCTTCTTTGAGATGACCAGCACGACCAAGCAAGTCAACCATGCATGTGTAATGATCTCGAGATGGTGTAATCCCATGATCCTCAGTCATGGAATGGAAGTATCTCCGGCCCTCATCCACCAATCCAGAATGGCCACAGGCTGACAAGACCCCTATCATGGTGACAGAGTCTGGGTTCTCATTGCTGCACAGCATTCTCTCAAAAAGATGCAATGCATCTTTTGCACGGCCATTCTGTGCATAACCAACAATCATCGCATTCCACGACACGTTATCTCTGGCTGCCATTCTCTCAAATACCTTAGCACCATCATCGATGGAACCTGTTTTCAGGTACATGTCTACAAGGGAGTTCCCAACAAACACATCAGATTCTGGCCCAAAGTCAAAGCGAAAACCTTCCTTGAGGACATGCACATGAGCTTGGTGACCAAGCTGAAGGTCAGCAATATTCCCACATGCATTCAGAACATTTCCATACGTGTAATGTGTTGGCCAAATGGAGTCTCTTTTCAGCTGGACAAAGAGCCTAATCGCTTCTTCCTCCTCACCATTCTGGGCATATGCTGCAATGAGCACATTCCAAGCAATGACATTCTTCTCGACCATCTGCGAGAACACCACCTGAGCATCCTCCACATTTGCAGACTTTGCATACCCAGTGATTATAGATGTTTCCGAGACAATACTCCTGGAAGGCATGGAATCAAAGATACACCTTGCTTCCCACGTCCTCCCACACTTTGCATACATGTCCACCAGAGCATTGTTGAGCACCATGTCATCCCTAAGTCTATCGCACTTCACCATATGGGCATGGACCTGCCGTCCTTCCCTGTCTGCAGCAAGTCCTGCACATGCGCTCATGACACTTGAGAGTGTCACCTCATCCGGAAAGAAACCAGCAGTCATCATCTCGACGAACAGCACGAGCGCCTCACCCACGGGACCGTTCTGCTCGTAGCAAGTGATCAAGCTGTTCCAGGAAACGACGTTCCGCTCTGGCATTGCGTCGAACACCCAGCGCGCATCCTCCGGGCGCTCGCACTTGGCGTACATGTCCACGAGCGCGCTCCCGATGTGCACGTCGTCCGCGTGCGGCGACCTGGCGACGAGGCCGTGCACCTGCTCCCCGGTCCTCGAGTCCTTCTCAGCGGCGCACGCGCTCAGGGCGCTGGCGAAGGAGTAGGCACTGAGCACGAAGTCGTCGGCGTGCATGGCGGCCAGGAACCGGAGCGCGTCCCCGGAGTGCCCGCGCCCGTGCCGCGCGAGCGCCGCGACGACCGCGTTGTAGGAGCACTGGTCGGGGTCCGGGATGGCCTCGAAGAGAGCCCGCGCCTCGTCGGGGCGGCCCAGGCGCGCGTACGCGGAGAGGAGCGCGTTGTACGAGAAGGTGTTGCGGACGGGTATCTCGTCGAACACCCTGCGGGCGTCGCGGAGTCGGCCGAGCCGTGCGTACGTGGACACGAGCGTGTTGAGGAGGAAGGTCTCGCCCGCCAAGGGAGACTTCAGAATGCGTGCGTGCGCGGCTCGGGCGCCGGGGAGGTTCGGCGCGGAGCGGAGGAGGTCGGCCAGCGGCGACGACGCGCGAAGGTGCGCGACGAGCTCTTGGCCATGGCGGTGGTGGAGGTGCCGCGCCATGCCACCGAGAGGCACGCCGTCAGGTCCCAAGACCCACACTTGGACGGATCTCCTGGCGTATAACGGCCAGAGGATCAGTTGCGATCTCGAGAGAAACAGGGTGTAGGAGAACATTCTGTGTCATCGAATGATGAGGGACGAACATATGCGAGTCCTGAGTCACATCTTGCATGAGGACACATAGGTGGGTGGGTGTTTTCATGTCATATTAAATATTTAGATATTAATAAGAATGATTAAATATAGATTAATTACAAAACCAATTATATAGTTAGAGGCTAATTTGTGAGACGATTTTTTAAGTCTAATTAATCTATCATTAGCATATGTTTATTGTAGCACCATGTTGTCAAATCATGAACTAATTAGGTTTAAAAGATTCGTCTCACAAATTAATCGCAAGTTGTGTAATTAGTTTCATAATTACTCTATATATTAATACTCTATGCATGTGTCCAAACATTTGATGTGACATGAATTTTAGAAGGCACTGCAGGAACCAATCAGGCCTATACTATTCCTCATTTCCTCAGCAACATCCTCAGAGATCCTTTTGCTGAAAAGCATGAAGCAAAACGTTTTATTTTCTCTTTTAAGTAGGCTTCGTTTGTTTCAGAGCGCTCTAGCGTTTTCTTCTGTGAACTCTCTGCTGTTTACTTTTTGTTCAAACTCTGTAAGCTGGCAACCCCAGCAGTTACCTTTTGCTTTCAATATAAGCAGGGCTAAGGTCTATGGTCTAAAAAAAACACCCTCAGAGATGTTAAAAAAGCATTCAAATTAGAGCCCAGTTTCGAAATGCGTTTAAGCATCACAGTTTCGTTCACACTTGCTGATGCATTTTTGAAGGATTGAATTGAGAATGCTCCTTGCCACCAACCATCCTATCATCAATTTCATCATCCATGTCTTTCATAAAAAAAATGTTCATCATCCATGTCAGTACAACTGCATTGCAGCCTCGGGGTTTCAGCTAATGCTGCATAGCACATTACAATCACGTCCACTTCATACAGAGATTCAGCGTTGGGACACCAGTTAATCTTTGTTTTAGGTATTTACAGTTAACATGCAGGACACCAGATGCAACTAGAAACTAGTGGGTAAGCGCGCGGGTATCCGGGCACGAAGCTGACAGTGCACACCATATCCAACAGGTTTAGGTACAGCAGCAGAGGTGGTATATATATACCAGGCGATTGTGATTCAAACATAATATCTATAGTTGTCTGCTTCTCTTGCAGGAGGTGGGTAAATTGAGTAATACTTGAACAAAATATATCAAAAAAGAGGACTGAAATGAGCTGGCTAAGGGCACACATAAGTAGAGGTACATGGAACCATGTATAACCATTAAGACAGGTGGCACCATCAGAGGTAGTCGTACTATCAGGATGCATTGCACGACAATGCCTCATTGCTTCACGGTGGGTTATTTGGGATCCTGACATTGGTCTCCATGGGCAGAGGTGAAGGTAAGCTGTAAGTAATTAAAGGATCGCTGGTAAATGCTGAGAAGATAAATGCAAAAGCAAAAAAAAAAAAAAAAAAAAAAAAGATGATGGTCGGTACCAGCAAGAAAAGCGGAGCATAAGGTACATTCGTATTTGGTGGACGTAAGAATCAGCAATCCTAGGATTAAGGATGCAGAACCATAACAATTTAGAAAAGTATTGAGGCGCTAAGATAAGCATCATTGCCTAAGCACTGACCAAACTGGCACACTGAAACCATTTTGCCAACACTGTTCTATTGTTCTATTCCCCAAAGACAGCAGACATCAGACAACCAAACAATCGAAGGCAAGAAAAAAAATAATTTACTGCTATCACTGCTATAAGCACTGACCAAACTGGTTTTACGGAACAGTGAGAGGAGATTTCTTCCTCAATGGCAGCTCCCGTCAGGAAAGGCAATAAGTGGAAGGCAACAAATAAACTAATTAACTGAATGGGCAGTCTGCCTAAACCATATTTCTTTTTTGATGATCTCACTGCAGTAAAGGGTAGCGTGCTTCGCTGCGCCCGCCCTATTGCAGGCAATGATGTGAGCCAGTATGTTGTGGGTGCCAGATTGGAGTATTAGACATTTCATGCAGAGCATTTGATATTTTGTCAGCGGATCATTTTGTAGTAATAAGGTTTTGTTAAATTCCTTATTAGAGAACGTGATTCTAAGATGCATAACGAGTTTAACTGAGTTAGATACACCTTGTGAGAGAAGGGAAAAATGGGGAAAATATCAGGCAGCAAATAAAATCTTCAACGGTGATTGTAATTGGAACAAAAATTTGATGAATTCTAATAAGGTCAAATCAGATAGACATAGATTCTCGTATGAAGTTTTGGTAAAATCCTTTTACAGAAAATTACAATTGCAATGAATTATACATTGAAATAGAGGAAGTGTGTCATGGACCACTACAGTTAAAGCAATTAATAAAACATCCTAGAGACTGGCTACAACAATATACATGAACAGAGCGACAAAAGGTATATAGGTTTGACTTGAAAACATCAAAACTTGATGGATAAAGTCAGATTCATCATTTTCCTTTTAGAACTCCTACAAAGCATGGCCATTAACAACTCTATAATATAAGTAATCCAAGGATAGAAGCACATAGATTTTAAGTTCACAGTATGGATGCATTATTTGAAAAGAATGAAGCAATTTTTTGCAAAAGAAAAGTATGTACCTGCTGTTATTTTCAGTACTTATTATCAAGTCACAAATGGGGAAAAGAACAGCTATACAACTATCAGTCCACAGCTACATACATGAAGGTGTGCCATTTTGTTCAGAAGCCACCAATTCAGATAACCTGAAATTTTATCATTTTATTTTGCTGCATAAGGTTAAGGTACAGCTAGAACTGACACCACATAGTTACATACCTCGAGGTCCACCATTTTGTTCAGAGGCCACCAATTCAGATAGTTTGAAACTATATCATTTTATTTTGATGCATAAGGTCTTCAAGCCAGCGTGAGCAGACAAATAATCTAATTGAACAGGCACATATCCATGATACACGGTAAAGTGAGATGATTTTCCGTAGACCCTTAAAAAGTGTGGTTACAGGGAAGTATATGTACCTGCAGACCATCAAGAGGTTGTTGTAACAGATAGAATATATTTTTCAGAGCACAACTGTATATTGTTGTACAGGCTATACAAATTTTACCGTTCAAGAAGGGCTATGTTGAAGTTCAGTATGACAGAGCCCATAATAACGATGACTCAATGAACCAATACAGTGATTATGGGCTCAATGAATCACTGTTACATAGAACAGAGCACCAAAAAATTCAGAACAAACCAATTGCTGTTGTGATTGGGCTTTTGGCCACCCTCTATATAAGACTCTTTGCCCTTAACTGGTAGGCAGAGCTGATGCCAACACAATCACCTCGGAAACAAATTAGACCGATCCTGCTTGGAAAAAATTAGATGGAAAACAATGTAATATACGATAATCTCAAGACAAAAGAACATACCTATCATATAGCTTTCGTAATACAACCATGGAAATATATTACAAAGACATTCAGATTAATATGAGCAGTTTTGAATTAGGAAACCAGATAATGGCTGTCACTAAAGGCTACTTTTATATACATCAAGAACACTGAACTTTTTTGTCATCAGCCGGAGCAGGCCATTAGACTGAGACATCCCTTTTAGGTACACATCAAATTCAGGCCTTGTTAGCATATGAAACACATTGAAATCAAAATGTGTACACCAAAACAGTAAGGTATATATTTTTAGTTAAAATGTATAGTCAATTGCTCCGCCGTATTCCCTAACAACCACAACAACAACAACAACAACAACAACAACAACAACAACAAAGCCTTTAAGTCCCAAACAAGTTGGGGTAGGCTAGAATTGAAACCCAACGGAAACAATTTATTTAAAATGTATAAGTCTTTGGGTATATTCCATCCTTTCAAGTCTCCTTTTATTATTCTACCCAAGTCAACCGGGTAAACTAATTTGCATCTGCAACATATGAGCCTACACCATCTCTAGTAAAACAATGTAGAAATATGCTAAACATGAGGCGTCATCGTATAGAATAAAGCAAGTACAGAAGGAATAGTGCAGCCTTTTCTTTTATTTGGTCTTTCCAGGGAGTGTTCCCTTCCCTTGTTGAACTCTTACTCTTGTTAACAAGGGTGGGAGCGGTGGATAGGGTGGGCGTGTGGGCCTCCTGGACGCGCACGTGGCGGCCATCCGGTGCCGGGCTGCATGATCCGATGGACAATATAGAGGTACTGTAGATGAACAGGGAATTGTGAGGGGAGGACGGGATGGCACTATTCATAAGGTCACCACGTTTAAAGACTTTTATAGATGCCTCAGCATCTTCTTATCTCTTTGTAGAGCAAGCTTCACCTCGATGGTGATAGCTGTACTTACCAAAGATGCAGATGAACTGCTGAAAGTGAAGTCTGCAATTGGGAAAATCAGCGCTATATGATTGTACACTTCTTAACTACATTGTGACCCAGTGCAAACCCCCAAGGCAGGAGAGGAGGTTGGGCCCTGATAGACATCAATTATCAGGTCAATCAGCACATGAGCCATGAGGTCAGTGTTCAGCCTGAATTCTTGTCTTAGCAGGGTATCATAAGTGCTGATCCTACCCGTTTATAGGCAGCTAATAGGTCAAATTCAAGTTTGTGACATCTCAGACTGCCCCATTCAGCTTCTCAGTCACTGAAAAACCCTCATGACTCAGCAAGAATCTCAATCATCACCAGTTTTGTCCGCCTCAGCAGAATGGCATGGGCTCCGCATCATCGCTGCCACTGCATTCGTAGTCAGGAGTGGACTCAACAAATATAACTGGAGTCAGGGGTTTGCTGTCATTGATACGCTGCGCAGCCCTCTCCCCTAATTTTCTGTTTCCATATTCCCTGCAGCAGTCAAAGATCCTGAGCCATATCGCGGTTGTTGGCTCAAAGGGCATGTGGTCCACGAAATCCTCTAGCTCAACCATGTATCCGTGCTTGCCCAACAGCTCGATCATGCATTCATAGTGTTCGATGCGTGGGACAATGCTATACTCATCAGTCATCAGAGTGAAATAACTCCTCCCCAACCCGACATGCCCTTCACAGATACATGAAACCAGAGCACCAAGGAAAGTGACAGAGTCTGGCCTAATCCCCTGCTTCCGCATTTCATCGAACAATTCAAGCCCATAGTCACCTTTGCTATTGTAAGCACATGCAAAGAAGATTCCACAGGATGACATCATCAGATAATCCCAACTCAAAGATCCTGGAGGAATAATCAAACAGCCTACATTTGGAGTACATATCAACCAGTGCACTTCGCAGTATATCATCAATATCATACCCGTTTCTGATCATGTATGCATGAATCTGCTTCCCATGATTAAGCAGAAATATATTTGCACAGGCTGCAAGGGCAGAGCTGAACGTAGACTGGCTAGGTTTTGCCTCAGATTGCATCTCACGTAGAGCATGCAGAGCTGCTTCACTCATGGAGTGGCGTTCGTAACCTGAGATGAGTGAGTTCCAGGAGAATCTATCTCTCTCTGATCCCATCTCAAATAGAAGAAGCCGTTCTGCATTCCTCAGGCATCCACATTTGGAATACAACCTCACAAATGCATTCATCATAACGGGGTAACTGAACAAACCACACTTGAGAGCGAGTGCATGGAGCTCCTCACCTTTCCCAAGGTCAAGCAGCCCTGTACAGGCATTGAGCACAGAACCAAGTGTAACGACATCAAGCTCCTTTATCTCGTGCCTCATCTGCTGGAACAAATCTAAAGCACCAGTCAGATCCATGGACTTGACATAACCGGTCAACATAGCATTCCAGGATACCAGATTGTGCTGTTCCATGCCATCAAACAACCTTTTTGCATCAGCAATCCTCCCACAAGCAGCCAATCCTGACACAACTGAAGTGGACATCACCACGTCCTTCTTTGGTGCCAAGTTGAAGAGCCTTTGTGCTGCATCAATGTCACCACACTTTGCATACATATCTACAACTGAGCTCCGCACGTGTATGTGGTGTTCATACCCATGTCGGAGCACAAAAGTATGTATGCACCTCCCTTCTTTAAGTGCACCGTTATCCCAGCAAGCAAGCATTGCGTGTGTGACAGTATATACCAGTGGCCTAACGCCGGCCCATACCATCCTGAAGAACATATGAACTGCCATGTCGCCCATACCAGCGAGAAGATATCTCCGGATGATTACATTCCATGAAATGTCATTGGGTTGCAGGATGCCATCAAATGCCCACCTTGCATCTGTAAGCAAGAGGCACTTCCCGTACATGTCAACCAGTGCCATGCCGAATTACATTGGACTGGAAGTCTCTCTTTGCGATATGACCATGGAGCTGCTGTGCACCACGCAGGTCAAGACACTCAGCACAGCAGGCAAGCACTGATGCCAGTGTGACGTCCTTGGGGCGAATGCCAAGAGAGTTCATGTCAGCGAAGAGGGAGAACATCTCTGCAGGGTGCCCAGCGCGGGACGAGGCGGAGATGATGGCGTTCCAGGAACCGCCGTCCCGGCGTGGCATTGCGTCGAACATCTCCCGCGCGTCGGCGAGACTGCCGCAGGCAGCAAGCGACTCGATGGCGCGGTTGAAGAGGAATGTTGGAGCGAACGAGGTCGAGGTGGAAGGGGAAGATGGCGAAGAAGAGGCGAGGTGGGAGGCGACGCGGCGGGCGGCGGCGAGGGAGCGGCGGGAGGTTGCCAAGCGGAGGAGCGAGGCGTAAAGAGAGGGCGGGAGCAGGGAGGAAGCCGAGCACGGGGGGTCGGGCGTCGATGGCGGCGAAGAGGTGCCCGGCGGCAACGTGGTTGGAGATCGCGGACACCGTTGAGGCGGCGGCGGACGCGACCGCCATGGCGGGAGAAATTTAGATATCTAAGCCGTTATTCGCACGCCTCTCATAATATAACCCTCAATTCGTATGTCTTTGGAAAAATAACACATGTCCTACAAATTATTTTGAAATTTAATATTTTTAAGGATTTTTCTATTTATGTAATTCCAAAAATCATCTTTCACTGTTTGGGACGGGAGAAAAGACATCATTACGCCTCTCTTGTTTCTGTTTTGTTCCCGTTCGCTGGGGCCTGGACTCGACTCGCAGGAGCACGAGTCGCGAGCGCCGCAACGGACTCCCACGCGCCGCGGTGTCTGCGAGCTGCCCCTTGCCAGGCCAGGTCCGTCGCCGCCTGCTGCCCGCCCACGCCGGCCGCCGGCGCGCCGCCTCTCCTCCTCCCCGCCCTCCTCGCGCCTCCCTGCAGTTCCTCCTCCCGCTGGCAGCTGTGCGCCTCCTCTCGGCAAGGAAGTTAGGGTTAGAGGGGGTTTGCGGCGTCCACCACCGGGCCGGCCCCGACGTTGAAGGCTCGGTCCCGCACCCGTCGGCTGTGGTACCGTCGCAACGCCTGCTGGTACTTAGCCTAACGGAGGAGGGTGGTGTCGCGAGCTTCGTCTAGCTGGTCCATGGCGTCTTGGTGGGACGCCTTGGCCCCTTGTTCGTCGTATGCTCTGACTCTTGGCGCTCCGTAGTTGAGGTCCATTGGGAGGACAACTTCGGCACCGTAGACCATGAAGAAAGGCGTGTAACCGGTGGCCCGGCTGGGAGTTGTCCTCGGGCTCTAGAGCACCGCCGGGAGCTCGGCGACCCAGCGTGCGCCGAACTTGTTCAATTGGTTGAAGATCCTGGGCTTGAGGCCCTGGAGGAGCAGGTCGTTCACGCGCTCAACCTGCCCGTTCGTCCAGGGGTGCGCGACGACCGCCCAATCGATCCGGATGTGCTGTTCATCGCAGAATCGAATGAATTTTCTGCCGGTGAACTGCGTGCCGTTGTCTGTGATGATGGAGTTCGGTACTCCGAAGCTGTGGATGATGTCGAGGAAGAACAGCACAGCCTGTTCAGATTTGATCGTGGAGATCGGTCGAGCTTCGATCCATTTTGTAAACTTGTTTATGGTGACAAGTAGGTGGGTAAAGCCTCCGAGCGCCTTTTTGAATGGCCCAACCAGATCAAGCCCCCAGACTGCGAAGGGCCACGTGATGGGGATCATCTGGAGTGCCTGGGCTGGGAGGTGAGTTTGCCGAGCGTAGTATTGACACCCTTCGCATGTGCATACGATTTGTTCGACGTCGGCTACTGCAGTGGGCTAGTAAAAGCCCTGTCGGAATGCGTTTCCAACCAAGGTCCTCGGTGCGGCGTGGTGGCCGCAGACCCCACTGTGGATGTCGCTCAGCAGAAGTTTTCCCTGCTCGCTAGGGATACAGAGCTGTAGGATCCCGGTGTGGCTCCGTTTGTAGAGTTTGCCTTCTATAAGAACGAAGGACTTGGCGCGTCGTGCAAGCCGTCGGGCTTTCGTCTTATCTGCCGGTAGCGTGTCGTGGAGGAGGTAGTCGAGGTAAAGCGTTCTCCAGTCATTGGGAGGGTCAGACTCTGCTGCTGGACCTTCTTCAAGCTCCATGACCTCGGGGTCGGGCGGAGCAGTCGGCGGGTCGGCCCCCGGGGCTAGATCAGGTGGGCCATCGTCGGCTCGTTCCAACCCCACGTAGCGCACCGAGGGCTTGTGTTGATCGTTGGCGAAGACACCCGTGGGCACTGGCTGTCGGGCGGATGCTGCTTTCACGAGTGCGTCGGCTGCTTCGTTGAGGCGCCTTGGGATGTGATTGAGTTCGAGGCCGTCGAATTTGTCCTCCAGCCGTTGGACTTCTTGGCAGTATGCCTCCATCTTGGCGTCGTGGCAGCTCGACTCCTTCATGACCTGGTTGACGACCAACTAGGAGTCGCCCCTGATGTCGAGGCGTCGGATGCCTAGCTCAATGGCGATTCGTAGGCCGTTGATGAGCGCTTCGTATTCGGCGATATTGTTTGATGAGGGGAAATGGAGTCGAACCATGTACCTCATGTGGACCCTGAGAGGGGATACAAAGACTAGTCCTGCACCGACGCCCTTTTTCATCAGCGATCTGTCAAAGTACATTGTCCAGTACTCTTGATTGGCGACTGCTGGTGGCATCTGGACCTCGGTCCACTCCGTGATGAAGTCAGCCAGCACCTGGGATTTGATCGTTGTTTGGGGGGCATAAGTAATGCCCTGATCCATTAGCTCGAGCGCCCACTTTGTGGTTCTTCCTGTGGCGTCCTGGCTATGGACGACCTCACCGAGGGGGGAGGACGTCACGACTGTCACAAGGTGTGACTCGAAGTAGTGGCGTAGCTTCCTCTTGGTGATGAGGACGATGTAGAGGAGTTTCTAGATTAGAGAGTAACAGGTTTTGGAGTCGGATAGCACCTCGCTGATGAAATATACAGGGCGTTGTACCTTGAAGACGTGCCCCTCTTCCTCCCGCTCTACTACTAAGGCGGCGCTGACCACTTGCGTGGTGGCCGCTATGTACAGCAGGAGGGATTCTCCGTTGCTTGGAGGAACCAGGACCAGAGGTTTAGTTAGAAATTGCTTAACCATGTCAAGCGCCTCCTGGACCTCGGTTGTCCACACGAAGTGGTCGGACTTTTTTAGGAGTCGATAAAGAGGGAGTCCTCGTTCGTCGAGGCGTGAAACGAATCGGCTGAGGGCGACAAGGCACCCCGTGATCCGCTGAACCCCCTTTATGTTTTGGATCGGGCCCATCCTTGTGATGGCTGAGATTTTCTCCGGGTTGGCTTCGATGCCGCGCTCGGAGATAATGAAGCCGAGCAGCATGCCCCTCGGGACCCCGAAAACACATTTTTCGGGATTGAGTTTGATGCTATTTGCCCGGAGTTTCACAAAGGTTCATTCGAGGTTGGCGACAAGATGGTTAGCCCGTTTGTACTTAACTACGATGTCGTTGACGTAGGCCTCAACGGTTCGCCCGATGAGGTCCCCGAAGCAGTTGATCATACAGTGCTGGTAAATTGCCCCAGCGTTCTTTAGACCGAACGTCATTGAAATGTAGCAGAACGATTCGAAGGGGGTGATAAAAGATGTCGCGAGCTGGTCGGACTCTTTCATCGCGATCTGGTGGTAGCCGGAGTATGCGTCAAGGAAGCAGAGGGTTTCGCACCCTGAGGTGGAATCAACTATTTGGTCTATGCGTGGCAAAGGAAACGGGTCCTTTGGGCACGCCTTGTTGAGGCCCGTGTAGTCGACACACATCCTCCATTTCCCGCTCTTCTTTCGCACAAGAACGGGATTTGCTAGCCATTCTGGGTGGTGTACTTCCCTAATGAACCCAGCTGCCAATAGCTTGTCTATCTCTTCACCGATGGCCCTGCGCTTTTTCTCGTCGAAGCGTCGTAGGCGTTGTTTCACCGGCTTGGAGCCTAGGTGGATTTTCAAGGTGTGCTCGGCGGCCTCCCTTGGGATGCCTGGCATATCCGAGGGTTTCCACGCAAAGATGTATTTGTTATCGCGGAGGAAGTCGACAAGCGCGCTTTCTTATTCGGAGGAGAGCGCGGTACCAATGCATATCTTTTTAGCCTCGGAGTTGCTGGGGTCCACGAGGACCTCCTTGAACCCTTCCGCTGATTCGAATGATTCGAATGATTTTTTCACGTCGGGTGCTTCTTCAATGACCTCCTCCCTGAGGGTGGTGAGCTCTTCGGCGGCGACGACTGCCGTGGCATGGCCGCAGCATTCGACTTCGCACTCGTAAGCACGACGGAAGGAGGTGCCGACGGTGATGACCCCGCGGGGGCCCGGCATCTTTAGCTTGAGGTATGTATAGTTGGGGACGGCCATGAACTTCGCGTAGCATGGACGTCCGAGGATGGCGTTGAAGGTTCTGGGGAACCCTACCACGTCGAAGGTGAGGGTCTCAGTCCTGTAATTGGACCGATCCCTGAAGGTGACGGGCAGATCGATCTGCCCTAGCGGTACGGTCTGTCTTCCAGGTACGACACCATGAAAAGGCGCTCGGATGGGGCGGAGGTTTGTTCGGTCGACACCCATCTCATCGAGTGTCTTGGCGTACATGATGTTGAGGCCGCTGCCTTCGTCTATCAGTACTTTTGTGAGCCTCTTTGGGCCAACGATCGGGTCGACGACAAGCAGGTACCTTCCTGGGTGTGGGACGGCATCCGGATGGTCAGTTCGGTCGAAGGTTATGACGGATTCTGACCACCAAAGGAAGGTAGGCGTGGCCAGTCCGGCCGTATAGACCTCGCGGCGCGCGACCTTCTAGCGGTGTTTGGAGTCGTAGGCCGCTGATCCTCCAAAGATCATGAGGGCGCCGTTTGGAGTCGGGAAGGCATCGTCCTTCTCCTCGGCGTCGTCTATGCTGGGGGCAGGTTCCTTCCCCTACTCCCCTTTGTTGAGGCCCCCGGACAAGTATTTGCGCATGAGGCCACATTCCTTGTATAGATGCTTGGGCGGGAAAGCATGGTTTGGGCATGGCCCCTCGAGCATTTTTTCAAAGTGGTTCGGAGTGCCCTCCGTGGGCTTATGGCCACCTTTGCGGTCGGCAGCGGCCACGAGCGAGTTATCGCGCCGTTGCTTCTTATTCTTTCTTTTGGCGGGGCGGTTGGAGGCGCCTTCACCGGCGTCCTCATCGCGCCT